GGGGGGTGAATTATCACTTTAGGTGAGAGTGTTTTTTAGTGTATATTACAAGTTATGACTTGAATTCTTTGTTAGCAAGTTAGTGAGGTACAATCCACTGATTGTGAGATTCATTATTATGCATAACTCATTATTTAAGACTTGTTTGCTTGGGTAGTTTAGGAGCCAGCAGCATTTCGTCCCCTTGAGGGCCGGGCCCCTTCATTGCCATACTGGCCCCAACCATAGCAGGATAGCTTCGATTCCTCCTCATACCTTCGTTTAGTGAACTAAAGGGGGACCCTGCCCTCCGAAGCCCACCCAGAGGACCTATAAGTGGGCTTGGCCTTGGAATCCCTCCCCCCGTTGCCCCAGAAGCCCCAGGGCTTGCCAACCCCAACCTTTTCAGCTTATCAACCAAGTTGAGACTATACATACTGACATCAGTTTGGCTCTCACAGTCTTTAGCCTGAGCCCCAGACACCCCTGCCACCTCTTTCAAAATAGACCTTGCTGGCTTGGAAGCCAAGAAGTTTTCATAGGATGGGCTCTTGAAAGAGAAAGGCGTGGAGGTGTCCGCATCAGAAACCGCTGAACCTGGGCTGGGAGTGCAACGGGTGGGGGAATTTGGCGGAGTGGTGGGTCTGTTCGGGTCGGGAAGTGGAGGAGGAAGAACTGAGGTGGAGAAGAGGACTCCTCCGCTTCCTCTGTCCCAGCTCTGAGGCTGGTACACGGCAGCAGAGATGCCCCTCTCCTGCAGGAGGCGAACCAGGCCCAAAGATGTGCTGAAGGTTTTGGTGGAGTCCCGCAGGTTGGTGAATGACTGAGACTGGGACAGACTCATTTGCCGAGGAGTACACGGCGTGGCGGCAGGTGTCGAACGCAGACTGCTTGACATCACGCAGGACGAGGTGAGGACGGGGTTTAAACTGGACAGAAAGGCAGAAAATTATGTGCCGATTGGCTAGTCAGTTATTGTCTCGGTTACAAGACAGTACATTACCTGGGTGTCACCCTTGTGAGCTCATCAGACGGATGGAGGATTTTGCAGGTGGTGAAGGTGTAAGTTGAACTTGTGTGAGCCATGCATTTGCCCGGGAAATACACTGGAAAAGATACAAAAGCTGAGAGTCAAACAAACAGAGTTTTCATTTATTTTTATCTAAATTAATAATTTATGAAAGTTATGAAAGGTGTGTTAAATATATATATATATATATATATATATATATATGTGCTGTCAAACGATTAATCGCGATTAATTGCATCCAAAATTAAAGTTTTTGTTCACATAATATATGTGTGTGTACTGTGTATATTTTATATATGTATATATGCGTGTGTGTATATATATATATATATATATATATATATATAATTTTTTGGGCTACTTTCCAAATACATGGATTTGAAATATTGATTTGAGAAATTTGTAAATTTGAATTACAAAATTTGTTAGTCCAGGACAATGGGCAAATGTACAGTTTTGATTTACTTTTAAAATAAATAAATGTTATATTTAGTTTAGATACTAAAGTCATATTATTTCATATAAGAACTAGTCACAGCAAATATATAGTTCAATTAATTTCATCTAAATGAATATTTACCAAATACATGGTTTTAAAATAACTTGAGAAATTTGTTAGGTTAACATATAGGAAATTGTTTGTTTTGATTTTTTTAATAAATAAATAAATAAACAATAATAAAAAAAGTATAGCAAATAGTGAATAAGGATTCTCTCTCTCTCTTTATATATACAGTATATATATATATATATATATATATATTTACACAATGTAATGTCAATATTATACATACAAAAAAAGTTTTCTTAGCAGCATAAATAGTACTATAATGTCAATATCTGAATCAAGTTTTTGAGCATAAGACACCAAACTTACTTGAGAACTCTATGGAAGCGTGACCTGTGCTGGGACATGGTGATGGGGAGGCTGAGGGGGTGAGGCTATGGGCAGGAGGGACACTGGAATTGGATGTGGTTGTGGTGGGAAGGCTCTGGAAATACTGCTCTCCAGGCTCATCTTCCTCATAATCGGCATAGTGATATACTTCCTCCAGGTCCAGCTCCAAGGGACGGAAACCTTTTGGGACCACACCAGGTCGAGCATCCAGGATACCGCCCAGATTAGGCTGAGCCAACTGCTGCCAGTGCTGAAGCGTAGCCGAGCCTAGGAAAAGAAAAAGACACGAGGGATGCTGAGAAGAAGTAGTGTGTGATTATATAACATTATTTACACAGCAGCTACATCAGGTCAGTGGGAAAACAAACACATATTAACAATGGTGCAATGATGTGATAATGAAAAATATAGAATGAAGTAAAGAAAGAATGAGAATATCAAAAGGAATAAGAAGAAGTGACTTTATTGAAAGTGAAGAGAAAGTGCAGAACACAGACTTTAAACAAAATGAGAGGTGAAAACATATAAGAAAGTAAAAGAATTACAGAAACAGAAAATATGGATGAAGAGTAAGACAAAGTGAAAGTTCATTTTCACTTTTTGTCCATTAGGTGGCAGTAATAAAATACGAAACAGAACTTCTTCCTCCAAGAACTTTCACAACAAACTTTAAAATCAGTATTTCAATCACTACTTCATGCAGCTTAAGCACTACACTATATTTCATCACGACACTAGAATATATATAACTGATCAGACTCTTTCACATCTCACATACATGTTTTAGCATAGATGAAACACAAATGAAGTCCTGCCTTTTTCATCATAGTAAAGAGCCTTTATAGAATATATGAATATGCATAACAGTACCAGCATATGCAAAATAATTTGCATTAGCCATGTAAATACAGTGGAGGGAGTTTTTCTTTCAAAATTATCATTTGTTTGAAATGAAAGGGTTAGATGACAGAATTTTGACTTTCTGGTGAACTATTCCTTACATTTATCAATTTTCAAAAGTATGCCATAACCTGATCGCTAGTGTAAATGTATCCAGCAGCGGGATTCTCTGAAGTACGAGTGTTTGCGAGGATGCATTAGCCCCCACAGCGAATTGAAAAGCATCATAGTGGGTAGACGTGGCCTGGAACGGGAATGAAGAAATGTCTTAGGATAGACATTTTGGGTATTTCGGTCACCTTCCAGAGGTTTGACAATCTGGAGCTTGTCGGGAAGATAGGGCCGGCTGGCCCAAGCGCCCAGGGACATAATGCTCTCGCTGTGCACCAGCCTGTTTGAGTAATCTCCACTGTCCGCTGGCTCTCGATTACGCCTCTCCCGCTCCCCCTCGAAGAAGAGACGCTCGCTCAGACAGTTCTGCCGTCGCAGGGACAGTCGCCTCAGAGCGAGTTTGAGCTCCTCAGAGCCAGATCGCTTCTCAGGGGCATCCACACTGCAGTCAGAAAACAAGGAGAGATGTGTGACTGAAAACAGGGGTCATTCTTAGGTCATTTGTTTAAAATAATTTTAAAGGATGCTGAAATTAGTCACATTATTTGATAGCTTCAACTTTGTTTATTCTGTAATGCAAAATTAAAATGATTTTATTCTTAAATGTATGATTTTCCATTAGGAATGCCCGCCAATTTGCAAGTCCCCATTTATCACAGTTACATTGTAAACGTGTTATTTTAATGTTAAAATAGTGAATTTCTGATTTTATTTAAATTAAATAACATGCTTTCATTATATATTTTTACCTCAAAAGAACATTTTATGATAAAATGTTGGATTTGTCTTTGTATTTACACATAATGTTTAACCCTGGTATGCTACGCGATGTCTCCTATTTAAAAACTGTTTGGCATTTTAAAGGTAGTAATGTGATGAGGTGACAGAGGTGAGTTTAGTCGTACAGTATGTATCATTATTATATTTTTATTTAACTTATAATAATAAATGTTCACATGATACCAAATTCTCAAAGCAGCTGCTCATATGATAAATCAAAAGCTCAAATGTGATTTCATTTCTTCATTTGGGGTAGCAACAAAAAAATATCAATCCAGTACAACCCTATCCTAATTAAAACTATAATTCAATAATCCGATAATAAAAATAGGCCTACTCAAAGAAACACCCCAAACAATGAATAAAATGTTCAAATGCTGAATCAAAAGTTTAAACCTTCATTGCAAATGGGTAATCAAATGCTTAAACTGATCAATTATCAAATCAATTATCAACCTTATAACATTAACATAGTGTGAATTATTACATCTGAATGATAGTACTAGAACTTATTCAAATGATAAGTACATAAATTGTAATGAGTTGAATTAAGTGTAGGTGAAAAATATGACTTTTGGAAATTCAGCACTGACCTTTTCAAATAAAATAATAATGAAATCTTCTAATACAAATGCCATTGATTCCAGAGAATGACCCTCTAACTCAAATTCAAGTGTGCCACTGGCCTTTCAGTCACATGAATATTTAACATACATACATTGATTACCCAGAAAAGTAGTGATGATTCACTTAAAGGTCAATTTAAAGTTATTAGCTTACAGCCTCTGTAAACATGGCCTCATAATAGACTCACGCAGCATCTGAGGAGCCGGTCTCCTGGAGCATGCTCTGTGTACGGTTATCAGGCGCTGTATTGTTGCTATTGCTGTCAGAGAGGGCGGAGCTAAGGGAGGAGAGCATCTGATTGGACCCAGGGATGTTGGTAGCAGAATTAGCAGATCGCTGTCTGACAGACTGGTTGATGTTCTTCACGGTCTCAAACACACGCTTATGACGAACCCTTGAAACAAAAGCACATTTTGTTACGAGATATTTAACTAATTCAGATTATGGCAATGAAAGAAAATATGCTGTATTGGAAAGGAAAAACAGGGAGGAAAATTTCAAACTTCTGTTCTTCATTGTCAGGATTCTCCAGACTCAATTCCTTCCTCATGGTTCCCTCAATTTCAGCAGCCAGGGAGTCCTAAAACACACATGCGCACATACACACAACACAAACGTTTACAAAACTATCTACATGGGGATCTTTTATAGACTTCTATTTATACAGCTTGTTATAAAACCTAACCAACACACTAAGCTTAACAGAAAACTTTTCTTTGCTATATTTTTACACAGTTTTTACAAATGTGGACATCACCAAAAGGAGGTTTTGTCAGATTTAGCTAAAAAAAAATTATATTTTAGGCTTGATCTTCACTCAGACTTTTTAAATTCCCCTTTCAATGTGTAAAATATCTGTAAAATATCTAAGAATCAAGGTAATTCTATTTTGTACTGTTACATTTTCAATTAATTTGGTATTTGTACACAATGAAAATTGACAGGGGGCACATCTCTAGCAGAACAACAAAGTGACAGAAATGTCATTAATTAAGGAATTATTATTATTATCATGATAGGATAAGCAGCTTTCTTTTACCAAACCAGTAAGGATTTGAAAATTTTAATATATTTATATAGCTTGTTAAGCTAAGTTTTATCATTTATCATTTTATCATCACTAAGTAATATCATTTATTAGATTAAAACTCAGTAATATTGTGAAAAAATATTAACATTTAAAATAACTGTTTACTATATGAATATATTTTAAAATATATGTTATTCGTGTGATGGCAAAGCTGAATTTTAGTGCACTGGCCTAGCATGAGTTATATAACTCTTTGTGTGTGTGTGTGTGTGTGTGTGTGTGTGCGTTTACCATGGGAAAAAGTCCCAGAGGGTGATAGCGTCGAGGAGTTCCTGCGGACACACTGCGGTTCCGTAGGTTCTTGAGCTCCTCTTGAGCCTCATGGAGCATTTCAATGCACTCCGAGTATTTCTCCTCCAGCTCCTGCAGCTGTGTGTGTGAGGAACCAACAATTGTCAATAACATTCACACAGAAAGAATGAATTAATATATTATGAAGGTACATGTTTTTCTAAGGTGAAAAACGTGGAATATTGATTTATTATGTCTAAAATAAAGTACCTCGGCTGTAAGCTGTCTTTGAGCATCTTTAGCTGCCGAAAGGTGCTGAGAAAGTTCTTCATTCTCGACAGCACACTGTCAAAAACATACACAAACACATAAATCTCAGAACACCTTTATCTCATGTATTGTACGATTCATTCACCAATGAAGTGAAAGAAGAAAGACGAAACGATTCTCACCGTTTTGGCTTTTTTCTGCAGGTCCACTATCTGAGAGAGAAGGTGTGTGATTTCCTCCTGCTGGCGAGAGGCATCTTCAGTTTTTTTGGCCAGTTCTTCTGCTATACTGGAGATCTGGATGCTGGACTGCCCTTTATGAGGAGAAAGGGTGGACTTATTTTTGTTTTGTCAAAATACAGAGCAATACACCTCCACTTAATCCCTAAAACAACATATCACTCACTTAACTCTCTGACGCAGTCATTCACCAGCTGCTGTTCCTTCTCCTCATATGACTCTGTCTCAGACTTCAGCTGACTCGCCTAAGGACAAAGATCAAGTGTGTCATTTTTAAAAGTTAAAATATAAATAAGTAAAACTGTTTCATTCTGGTCTGTGTAATTTCTAAGAACATTCAATCCAATTTTTCTAAATACATCAAATCAAAATGGGGCATTTAACAAAAGTAAAAAGATTGCAATCTTTGTATGGTGGAGTCAATAAACCTCCAGAAACATGAAATACCATCCATGGTAGTTCACTGTGTGTTCAGAACGACTCTGAATAATAATAAGGTTATAGACATTCGGTAAGATTCTCAATCTACTGTGATCACAGCATGCACGCACACACAATAGAAATCAATTATTTTTTCTATTCACACATGGAAATTGGGCCGAGGCACACACATTGCCCGGGGCCAAAATGTCTTCTTTCTCTTTTGCTTAGTCTTGCCAGTTAGTGTTCCTCATATTTGTACATACACTACCATTCAATTTTTTATTCAGCAAGGACCCATTAAATGATCAAAAGAGACAGTAAAGACATTCATAATGTTACAAAAGTTTTCTATTTCCAGTAAAACCTGTACTTCTGAAATTTCTGTTCTATCAAAGAATTTATCTTTGCCATTACAGGAATAAATTAAAATAATTCAATTAAAATATATTTAAATAGAAAATTATAATAATAAAATTACTGACAAACAGCAATAAACTTTCACTATATTACTGTTTGTACCCACTCCAAACTTTTGAATGGTAGTGTGTTTCTTAATGTTTCTAAATTTTAGTTTTTCACATGTGCATGTACCTCTGATCTGAGAGAGAGATTGTCCTCCTCCAGGTCTCGTAGTTTTTGCTGCAGAATGTCCAGAGAGGAACCACTACGGGCAGAAACTCCTGCCCTTCCCTGTTGACTCCTGATCCAGAAACAAAAGAATGTATGACTAAGAAATCAAGCCTAATACGGGCTTTATTTTCATGAAAGAACAACTGTCTGGTTCAACAGAAATAACAAGTGTTGAGGTTGTTGAAAATTACAAATTTAATTGTAACATTATAAATTTAAAACTACAGCTGAGAAGCCCTTAAAAACACCTGAGCTGATAATATCCTAACTGAAGCCAACAGAACCGGCTTGACTGGCCTTGAGCGATAGATAAAAGAGGACAGTGTTATAAAACAGTGGACTGACGTGGGCGATCCAGACCCCTCTTCGCTCTCCTCCGCTGCATTAGTGTAGAACTGCAGGAGCTCGTCTTTTAGATTCAACTCGTGGTGCAGTTGAGCCACCTGTGTACAATAATATAAACACAATTTAAACAACAATGTAGCGTCTCGACCAATCTGACACACTAATTTTTACTTGATTTAACAAATCAATTATTCATTAGATTAACAAATCGTCACAGTCCCCTCACTCAATAAACTGGATGCCAGGATTTCTGCAGAACACCAGGCCCCCTGGTCACCATGACAACTAATCATGATATCACTGGTTTTATGACCCCCCAGGAATGTGAGTAGAATAACCCACTCATTGTCCCCATAGGAAAGGCAGAGTAGAAATGGACTTTTCTACTAATTAATTCATAAGAAAACCTTTCTTTGAATGAACACACATCATCCTTCAGGTCATTGGGTATATTATTGTCATTCCTCATGAGCTGATTCGTTACAACAAGAATTCATTCATTGCTCACACTTCATGGCTAATTATCATTTCTCATATTATTACTAATAGTATTACAGACATGAACTGAGATCAACCATAAAAAAGCTTCTGACAACTGAGAGCCAAATTCACTAAGAAGTGAACAGTATATCAGGAGCTAATCATTTTTAATGAATTGCCACCAGAGAGAAAACTTTGTAATGAATCTGTTCAAGTACCTCCTCCCTGATGGTGCCCACTTGTTCCTCCAGGTATTCGTTCTGCTCTGACAGAACACGGTTCTTCTTCAGGAGGGACTGACCGATGCGGGCAGTGAGCTCCAGATCCCGCTCTTTCTGTAGAGTTGAGAAAAAGATTTGAAAATCAATCCACTACCGTTTGGAGTTGGTGAGATGCTTATAAGTCTCTTATATTCATCAAGGCTGCATTTATTTGATCAAAAATACAGTAAAAATTGTGAATTATTATTACAGTTAAAAAAAAAGTTTTCTTTTTGAATATAGTTTAAACTTTAATTTACTCATGTGATGGCAAAGCTGAATTTTCAGCATCATTACTCCAGCCTTCAGTGTCACATGATAATTCAGAAATCATTCTGATATAATGACTTGCTCAAGCAACATTTATTATTATTTCTTTTTCAATGTGCTGCATATTTTTGTAAATACCGTGATGCATTTTTTTCAGGATTCTTTGATGAATTGAAAGTTTAGAACAGCATTGAAATAGAATTGTTGTGTTGCATTAAATGTGTCTTTAGTGTCACTTTTAACCAATTTAATGCATCCTTGTTGAATAAAAGCATTATTTCTTAATCTTAATGACCCCAGACTTTAGCATCATAATAAATACACAATTTCTTTTTAAACCTCACCTCCTCCAGAAGTCTTGTGACAGCGTCAATGTCATTGTAGGTCTTAGTCATCTGGCCCACTCGCTCAGCACATAGTACTGAAATACAGACCGAAAAAACACTTGAGTACATTACACCAGCTTAAACAATTTCACTTGAACCCAAAAAGAGTTCAGTAAAATGAGGCAAAACTCCTACATCCTGACCTTAAAAATAACCCTGATAAAAGAACTCTCAAGCTTACAGACATGTAATGTCAGTTTAAGTACATAAAGAGGAGGGGAAAAAAGCTACTGGCTTGCTAACCTTGCACCATCATGCTCTTACAATAACATCAATGACAAACCATGCATGATTGCCCCCGCGACTGTTTCCATGGTGCTGTTACTCAGCAACCCCATCCACAGTCAGCCAGAATCAGATCAGCCACAATTACTGTTATATCACACACTCATACTACAGTCACACAGAAACAAGCAAGTAAGCCTGTCGCAATAATCAATATATCGACTTACCGCGCAATATATGTAATTCTTTGTGCATTTTTCTTTTTTCTACTTATTACTTTGCACTTTTTGTTAGAAAATGTTTATTTAGTATTTATTCAGTTTTTTTAAGGTATCTAATATTTTGATACTTAATTTTCATGATCTAAATATTCTTAAAAATTAAACGTTTGTTGTCATTTGGAAGTGTGTAGGTCTTCTTGCATTATTATGCTGTTACATTATGATTATATATTCAGTGGCATAAAATGGTCTTTAAAATGACAATAATATCGCTTATCGCAATGATTTCTTGGGCAATATATCGCACAACAAAAAGTTGTTATCGTGACAGGCCTACACACAAGCACAAAAGTATGCACAACAATAAGAAGTAATAAGAGATCAAATATTAACTTTCCGACAATTTTTTAAATAAAACATTTGATACTAAATTCTATGTACAGGATGTGAGCAGGAGGAGCGTTTTTTGTTAGAAGGATATTATAAAATAGAAGCTGAACTTCAATATGCAAAACTGAACATTCAATGAAGTCTTCAAAAGACAAAGAATGAACTTAAACAAATCACATCTTATTAATGCAGCTGAGTTCCTAAACTGCTTTAATGATGACTGTATATCTAAAGTCAGAGCTCAGCCTCGGGACATTGACTGTAAAGATATTAAACGCTTCCAGACTGGTGATGAGAATGAGAAAAAGTTTTATGAGGACATACTGTCAGACTCTGGACAGAGCAAACAATAAGACAACCATGCTGTCCTCTCTACACACACACACACACACATAAAGATATCCAGAGGCCTCAGGCTACACTCAAAAAGGAGAAAGAGTAAAAAGGAGAATGTGATTAGCTTTAAAGCACTCCTGAATCTCATCCAAAACATATACAGATAAAACTAGCCCACAACATGCAAAATAAACCCCTCAAAATTTTCAAAAACACCCCTGATAATGAGAAATCAAAGCAGAAACTACTCAAGTAGACACTGAAAGTGCAAATGCATGACTTTACCATCGGCATTGTAGCGAATCAGCTCATTCATGGGGGAATATGAATAATTAATCATAACTAGTTATAATTCATTGACTATATTTAACACTACGATGAGAGAGAGAGAGACTGTGGGAGGGAAGGAGTGAGACAGAGAGAGAGAGAGAGAGAGAGAGGTTGTGGTGGTGGGGGGATGTGGGACATGACGGTAATGTTGATATCACAAGGTCAAATGTAAAGGATTATAATCTACAGTGTGAACTAGTGGGTCATTCATACTAGTCAGTGTATTTTTATGCCTCTATCACATGACTATGCAATATTATCCATGATTATCATAAGATTATCCAATAAAATATAATTTGTAGAGGTGGTAATCATATTTGTTTTTTTCTTATCACAATATGACAGTTAAGTCAATTAAGTCAGGTTATTTTGGAAACATGTATTTAGCAATAATTTTTAAATCATTTTTTAAGAAAATGCAATCTAAAATGACAATAAAGAAGTTTATAGTGTTACAAAAGACTTGTATTTCAAATAATTGCTGTTCTTTTAAACGTTCTATTCATCAGAGAATCCTGAAACAAATTGTATCCTGGTTCACATAAAAATATTAGGCAGCACCAAATCTGTTCTTGAGCACCAAATCAGCATATTATAATGATTTCTGAAGGATCATGTGAGACTGAAGAATGGAGTAATGATGCTGAAAATTCTGCTTTGCCATCACTGGAGTAAACTACATTTTAAAATATATTACAATAGAAAATAATTTTAAGTTTTTTTTAAGTTAACAATATTTCACAATATTACTGTTTTTACTGCATTTCCGGTCAAATAAATGCATCCCTTGTTCTGTGACCTTTTTCAAAAACATTAACTGATTAACTGATGTATGATACTGTATATCTAAATTTCAAAGGACAATTACAAACTGAATTTAAAAATCTTCAAAATATTACACTTAAAAATGACAAATAATCAAATAGCATAACTGTCAATCCCTTGCTGGTTAATTTTAGTTGTTTATTTGGTCTTAGGCCTCTTGATAATTGTCTTGCCATTTTTGTAATTATTTGTAAATTGGTTTACATGCCTGAGCTTGACCAGAGCATGTTTCTGAAAGTCTGTAATTTTCTATAGAAATCGAAATACTTGCTTAAAAAAAGAAGAATTCAAAGGGCAATGAATAACAGAAACCACCCTAGTATTATCTCTAGGATTAATTAAGTGCAGTTTTCCATTGGACTGGAATAATTCCTTAACTGTCCAGCAACTGAAATATAATATCGTTGCAGAGTCTGTCAGAAAAAGACTACTTATTAATATTATCAGTCATTATGGCAAAGGCAGAGCTGATTTCTCTGTCTTTGTCAGTATATATGTATATTCAGTAATATTCCGTCTGCACAGAAAGCCGATATGAGGCACGATTCAGTACAGTAAACATGACTCAGTAGGAGCTATTCAGAAGGGCTTGAGTCAAGAGCTGTTTGAAACATTTAAACTAAAAAGTGTGTCAACTTATTATTGCTTTTCCACACTAGCACATGCAGCAGCCAATCAGTGAAACTTTAGAATCGTGCATTAAAGTCTTTTACATTGATGCATGTGCGTCAGACTCTCCAATATGTCTGATACCCTGGAGGGGAAATCTATAACAGTTATGTAACCAGAACCAATTTAAAAAATAAAGGCTGCTGAAAGGTTAATTACACAAATTCTCAGAATCCTAATGAAAAGATGTCATTGTTTACAAGTTCAGAGAAATATGTGTTGTTACAAAAAAAATTAGGGAAAAACTATTTAAAGTGGAAAAAAACATACACTACTGTTCAACAGGGACAGTATGATTTTTTTTTATTAATACTTTATTCTTTTTAATTAATTAACTTTAAGGATGCATTAAATTTGTCAAAAGTGACAGAAAAAATTTATCAGGTTTCCACAAAAATATTAAGCAGCTCAGTTAAGCTGTTTTCAGCATTGATAATAAAAAGAAATGTCTCTTGAGCACCAAATCAGCATATGATTTCTGAAGGATCATGTGACACTGAAGACTGGAGTAATGGCTGCCGAAAATTCAGCTTTGACATCACAGGGATAAAATTACATTTTAAAAGTATTCAAATAGAAAACAGCTATAACAGTAAATAGTAACAACAATATTTCACAATATTACTGTTTTTCATGTGTTTTGGTGAAAAATTCAGCCTTTGTGAGCACAAGAGACTTCTTTAAAAACATTTAAAAACTTTACTGACCCCAAACTTTTGAACGGTAGTTGATCTTTTACTATGAACACTTCTACATTAATATATGATATTTATATTCTAACATTTATATGTTTTAACTTACAAAACAGTTCACAGGTCACATTACAACAACAATAACAACAACTTCACAGAGGCATGTAAAACAGTAATGGTGACGTATATTGCTTACATAATATGTGGTCTGAGCATATATATGGGCTTACATCAGTTCACTTTATTTTAAACTCTGTATCTCACTCACCAAACAAGTGTGGATACAGAAGAAACCAGCACCATCTACTGGCTGAGCCATGTCAGTGACAACACCGTTCACTTTTCACAGTGACCTTGATATATCTTCACTACATATTCTGTTACATCTAGGTCCTTTAAAAACTGAAAAATCAGCAATACCATATTATATGGTGTGAAAAAAAAGGTTTTATCATAACTCAAATATCAGAGCACATCTCACTCCAATAGATAAAAGGTAGAGGAATCTGCAGAACTCCAGTCTAGCAATTATTTAGGTAGCTACAAAAGGTTTAAAAGTAATGTTTTTTTCTGCCAACTATACCACGAAATATAACTTTTATTATTATTTATTGATTTATTAGCAATGCATTTTATATGTGCCAGTTTTCTTAACAAAAATTTATTTATTTTTTATTTTCAATTTTCATGCTTCTAAAACCAGTACAATGCAGAAATGCACAAGATCGACGAATGTTAAAATAAAAAATTATAATTAATTGAGTTAGAGATCAAACGTATGTCCAAATGTCTAAAGATTAAAAAAATCTAAATATGAAAATGACATAAGAAGTCTTGTTTTCTGAGAAATTTATCAAAATGAAGTGTTTATCTTTTTTTTTTTAAATGCCAGTGGTCTTAGAAAAGCCAATTTAATTCCAAGGGAAAACAAGTTTTCATACCCCACTCACAGATAATTTGTTCTTGTTTTAAACATAAACACATTTAATTTTGTTTAATTTCTCAGAAAACAAAACTTCATGTTCAATTTAAATCTCAAGTAAATGTATTTTGATTTAAGGATATTTAGATATTTGCATTGGAAAACAAAACAAAAATATTGAGGACGATATTACTGCAGCACATGCAACATTTAATGCCATGACTTTATGAATTTATGATTTTTTGCTCCGATTTAAGACCTTTTTAAGGCCTTAATTTAAGGGAGGGCTGAATTAATACTTTTTAAGGCCTGCAGAACCCCTGTTAGTGGTCAAAATTCTTTCTAATTATAATAAGCCTGTTTCACTCACAAAAGTAGTTGAGCGTCTCCTCAATCTGCTCTGAGGTGAGGTCTATGCGTGTGTCGGGCGAGATGAGAGGTGTGTGGATCCAGTCGTCGTGCTCATAGCCGTACACACAGTCTGCCCTCAGCCTGTAGACCGGCAACTGCTCCTCCAACAGACTGATAATCTCCACCTCAGGGAGCTCTGTGCTGTTACAAACATCTACAACAGAGAGAGACAGAGATGTGCAAATCAACACTAGTACATCACTAGTACGAAACAACACACATTCACACACGTTCTGACCTGTGATTGTTTCTGCGTCCCTGTAGCGGGCGTGTGGCGCTTGAGGCACTGGTTCCTCGGTTCCTTCGCCTACATACTGCTCTTCTGGGATGGGTCCAAGGTGTACAGGTTCTGTAGGATCTGTTCTCGAGCACTCAGAACTGGACTCGTCCAGCTTGGCAACTTCTCAGTGAGATACTACAACATGTCCAGCTTTGCCCCTCTGTAAACAACACAGACCAATGAGATTAAATATTATAAAACACAAAAAACAAAAGTATATGCTGTTTTTGGCCTGATTCAGTATTGGTTATCTAAGGATCTTGCTGATAAATGATTTCATTAACAACCACAAACATGTAGGCCGGTTTGTATTTGTTGCAGTTATCAAGGTTTATTTTTGAGAAATCGATTTTCATAATTCTTGATAGTTAGGCCACCAGGTGCAGCAAGGAGGTTCCTGTAAGGTAATCTAACAGTGGATAGAAAGAAGATACAGTCTATAATAATAAAATAATATATTAATAATAATTTCCTTTTAGTAAAATGGCAATAAAAAGTAAATTATTTAAATTTGCAAAGAACACATTGCCTTTATTATATATATATATATATATATATATATATATATATATATATATAATATATGTAACCCTAAACCTACCCCATTTGGTCCCCACAATGCAGCATAAACAAGAACACACACACACAAACATTTTAGAAAACATTTTAAATGACAAACATGCTCAGATCACACAATCCCTGTAGAATGAAACTCATGAATCATCTTAATCATAGAGAATTACAGAAAATATTGTAGTTATTGGCACTGTGCACATACAGTCAGAGATTATAAATCACACAGAACATCTCTCACGCACAAGCATCGCATTATCGTAAATATACAGGAATTGTAAAACATGAGATCACGTGGTTTGTTTTTGTAATGGGCGTGTCTACGCATGTGTCGTCATAACGTTTCTCCGCATCTTCTGCGATACCTACACCTTGCGTAAACAAACTGATTTTAAGTCATTAAAAATGAACATCTGTATTTCACTGTAGTCCACCTTTTAGCTACTGGTAGATATTATCAAACAAGATAATGCCATGACTGTGATAGTGTCTATATAGATGAATCTGCTTACTTACAATAAGGTAACTCCAGTTCGTGTGGAAACCATGTAACGTTAATTCATTTATCGTCGTCCGGATGATACGCGCACCACAAATGAACTGATTTCTCCAAATGAACGGCGTTAGTCACGTCAACCATAAAGCACAGACTTCAATTTTGCTTTTGTCTCTAAAGAACCGAGGACCTAGATTGTCGGATTGTTTCACTATCGTTACACCGGGATTGTTACAAATGTCTTCAACAGCAGGCGTCGAATCTCCCAAACCACTGAACCTTAATTCTTAGTTCCTCTTATTTTGCCTATCCTATTCATCACCTCTCCTCTTGTATCACCTCCTTTCATTCTCAATCTGAGAGCGCCGCAATGCCTGTGACGTCACACGTCAAACGCCGATGCCGCGCATGCCTCGCGCTGCTGCAGCAACTCAACACAAGAATGTCACACAAAGGACGTGACACAGTTTCTCTGCATACGATTACTGGGCTACATTTAATAGCTTTCGTTATTTAATTTATGTGTTTATTCGTTGATACTATAAACACGAGAAGGTATTTTTGGAAATGACACCATACATTTTTATGCCAGACAATCTGCAGACAAATCTGTTTATATTTTTAGATGTAACTAGTCAATATTTCTTTTAATAATATTCTTAATGTTAACATATTTCGCATTTTTTTTCACATTTTTACTTGTCTGTTCACCTTTTTACTTTAGTTTACTTAAGTAGGTCACGGAGTCTGATTTCACAAAAAGCGCATATATAATTAATGCAAATCAAGTCTTTTAGATATAGCATGTCACACTACAGCACAATGTTGTCACATTCTAACTGCTCATGTACAGATATTCCTTTTTATATTTCTTTGATATGGTTGTGTAGTGCTTTCACGTTCTAATTTTAAAACTTGAAAGCAAAGTTGGCACACCACAGCTCCAAAAGCAGAAACATAGGCCTATTTGTGACCCTGGACCACAAAACCAGTCACAAGTAGCATGGGTGTATTTGTAGCAATAGCCAACAATACATTGTAGGAGTCAAAATTATCGATTTTCTCAATATTTAGATTTTGTTTGCACAATCAGATTCAAGATTTTCAATAGCTGTAGCTCAGCCAAATATTGTCCTATCCTAACAAACCATACATCAATGGAAAGCTTATTTATTCAGTATAAATCTCAATTGCAAAAAATTGACCCTTATGACTTTGGTTTTGCGGTCCAGGGTCACATTCATTTATGTTCTCTCCACAGGTGATGTTTCCACGTCAAACGCCGATGCCGCGCATGCCTCGCGCTCCTGCAGCAACTCAACACAAGAATGTCACACAAATACTATACTATACTATACTTAGTATATACTATAACTTAGTTGATACTATAAACACGAGAAGGTATTTTTGGAAATGACACCATACATTTTTATGCCAGACAATCTGCAGACAAATCTGTTTATATTTTTAGATGTAACTAGTCAATATTTCTTTTAATAATATTCTTAATGTTAACATATTTCGCATTTTTTTTCACATTTTTACTTGTCTGTTCACCTTTTTACTTTAGTTTACTTAAGTAGGTCACGGAGTCTGATTTCACAAAAAGCGCATATATAATTAATGCAAATCAAGTCTTTTAGATATAGCATGTCACACTACAGCACAATGTTGTCACATTCTAACTGCTCATGTACAGATATTCCTTTTTATATTTCTTTGATATGGTTGTGTAGTGCTTTCACGTTCTAATTTTAAAACTTGAAAGCAAAGTTGGCACACCACAGCTCCAAAAGCAGAAACATAGGCCTATTTGTGACCCTGGACCACAAAACCAGTCACAAGTAGCATGGGTGTATTTGTAGCAATAGCCAACAATACATTGTAGGAGTCAAAATTATCGATTTTCTCAATATTTAGATTTTGTTTGCACAATCAGATTCAAGATTTTCAATAGCTGTAGCTCAGCCAAATATTGTCCTATCCTAACAAACCATACATCAATGGAAAGCTTATTTATTCAGTATAAATCTCAATTGCAAAAAATTGACCCTTATGACTTTGGTTTTGCGGTCCAGGGTCACATTCATTTATGTTCTCTCCACAGGTGATGTTTCAAGCCTAAAAGCTCATCATCAGACAGTCTGATGAAGACCCTTGAGTGCTCGAAACATCACCTGTGGAGAGAACATAATTATTTTTCTACCTTTGGAGCTGTGGTGTGCCAACTTTGCTTTTCCTGTTTGAAATTGTTTTTGTGGTTGAGCAGTGAGCACCCACATTGGGCTTTTGGCCTGCTGGATGTGCGCACTTTGATTGCAATCTTTCTAGATTTGAAACTTGCCTGATTAAGATGATAAAACAATGGGAAAAATCTCCAAGGTTACAGAGCATTTTCTGAATAGGAAAACCCAGGTGGAAGGAGACACATCACACATTAAAATCACCAAGGAAAGAATTTATTACAATCAGACAATTGCATATTTATCATGTCTACAGCAACAGATTGATAGCTTGAGGTCTGTGTGCTAACGTGCTGATTTTGCACTTAGGGGAAAAGTGTGTGTGGATCTATTTCACAGCTTTGTTGCTGAGGTTGAGTTTCCTGTGCACACCAGAATTGCTTGTTGTGTGTTTGTGTGGCAGGGTGGGAATGGGAGGCAGGACAGTTTCGAGCGGAGGGAGAACATGGCCGTCTTTGCGTGAAAGAGCACGGATCTCATCATTGAGAACCTCGATGTCCTGTGCTTGAGCCGCTACCAGCTGCTGCAGCCTCTGCAGTTCCTGTTTCTCAACCAGACGGCCTCGGAACTGACCCACCTTAAACAAACACACACACACGTTTTGAATGTCTGAGGAGTGTCCTGCATATACTGTACATTCACAGCTGCAGGTGCAGGTGCTGCTACTGCTTCATTTGTGAATAAACTGCAGTAAATATTGCAGCAGTTCAAGATGGTTTTAAACTGGAATTGAGTAAACTAAATCATGTCAGAAGTTTGACTTTCTTAACAACAAATATGTGAAGAATTCAATAAAGAAAGTGATAAAATGTGAATAATGAATGAAAATACCGTCTTCCGCTGTCTGGCATTGAGCTGTTCATCCAATGCTTTTTTCTGGCTGAGCAGGCTGTTCATTTTACATAGTCTCTCTGTGTTTTGTTTCGTGATTTCTGTCAGGGCCTCTCTTGCTTCTATAAATTTTGCCTGGTAAACACACATAATCATGAAAAATTCCTCTAGATTGGCAAATTTAACATAATAATTGGTTCATTACATATACTACTGTTTAAAATTTCACATGACAATAGACTATTATTCACATATTAAGTCTGCTAAGAATGTAATACTTTTATTCAGCAAGTATTAAAATGATCAAAAGTGACAGTAAAGATATTTATAATATTACACAAGATTTCTATTTAAAATAAATGCTGTTCTTTTGAACTTTAAATTCACTGAATCCTGAAAAAAAAATCAACAGTGATAAATGTTTCTTGAGCATCAAACGAGCATATCAGAATGATGTCATATGACACTGAAGACTGGAGTAATGACTGCTGAAAATTCAGTTTGCCATTACAGAAATACATTGCATTTTAATATATATTAACCCTTAAGCTCTCCTTTAATAGGGTTTATGATTTTCATCCTTGGGGTCAGATAGACCCCAAACTTTTACAGAGCGATTGTATAAAAAAAATAATAATAATAATATTATAAATTATGTATCTTTTTTTTATTTACTTCTCAACTATACATTTATACTGTTTTCATGGATATTTGGTACTTTTTTTACCTATTTACTGTAAAATTACTTTACACCATTAGTTGGCTTATGAAAAATAATTTTTTTATGAAAAATTACTTTAATGATTGATGACCTAAATTAAATATGAATAGTTTCTGCACATTGGTCTATGTGTTAGGGATAGAATACTGCCATCTTGCAGGTTAGAGGAAAAACTTTAGCAATTATAGTTAAAAGAAAAAAGTGCAATGACCACATATATCCAGCAGAAGCCCTTAGGAACTCATTTCATTTTCAGTTCATTTTTTTTGATGTGCCAATTTCTCCTCACAACTTTATGATATACATTTTGTGAATATATATTTAAATATTCTAAAATACATAAAAAATACAACAACAAAAATCTGTATTTTGTCTGTATTTTGTCAAAGGTAATCTAAATAATGCCCCAGACACCTGTGTGAGTGTGTGTGTGTGTGTGTGTGTGTGTGTCATAGATTGTAAAAAAAGATGGACAACGCGTCTCTACTTCCTTCCACTATAGAAAAGTGAAGCCAAAGCATCTGAGTATTGCCACTGCCATCTTGAGTAAATGACGTCATTTGGAGCCAGAGTCTGCGCAGTAGAGATTTGTTTGGAGTCAGAGTCTGCGCAGTAGAGATTTGTTTGGAGCCAGAGTCTGCGCAGTAGAGATTCGTTTGGAGCCGTAGTGTCGTGAGGTGGAGCCGCGGTATAAAAACTTTAGATATTTCCAAACTCCCACAGACCCAAATCAACCATAACGACACTCCCCGTTTTTTATAGCATCAAATTACTAGCTAAAATCAAACTTATCACAAAAACGAACAATTTAACATATATCAGCGTGATTACAACTACCTTAAATGACCAAAACCATCCTTCGGAAAAATTGTATTTGAAGTGTAATTAATTTTTTTATTTTGACTCAAGTCCCATTTGTTTACATGGAGAGGGCGGGGTTTATGACCTGTACTGCAGCCA